ACTAAAAGTCAAATATTTCATTTGGAAATTCCTAGCGACGAGGCGAGAATGAAATGTGAAAATGGTACCCACCCACCCCAACACATACACACTCACACACCCTTTTTTGCTTGCTGTGAGAACCACCCTGCTTAAAAACTATAAATTAAGTTTACAACTTTTCCGCAGAAATTTTTTTTTTTTGTTTCCTCCACAGTTACTGTTATTTTCGCTGTTCTATCACAGTGTGACAAAATGGCATTGTCAACCCGGAATTGGAATTTCCATTGCTCCATTTCTCCACTTCACCGTATCTCTGAGTTTCTCCATTTCTCCATCTCTGGAAATGTATGTCAAGTGTTACCAAAAGCAACTTTGACATCCATCATTTGGCATCTGTGGCACTTGTTGACCTTTGTTTGCAACACGACGCAAACAAGAAGGCGGCGGTGGAAAATAGGTAAAAATGGGTGGGGGGTGGTTTTCCACAAGGTGGAAAATGGGGAAAAATAAGTGAAAGGCGGAGGGAGGAGAAGGGGACAGCTAATCAAAACGTCGCAGAAAGTTCATTAACAACATTTTCCAGTCAATTGTCTTGTCAAGCGAAGAGACTGGGGGAAAACTCTGACAAATAGAGAGGAAAACCCGAGACAGCTAGCTTATTTCTGCAGATATGTATTTATATTTGCACCTGCCGAGGGGGCGGTGCCACGCCCTCTTTCAGGGCTTCGAGGTCGGCGGCTCACTTTGTTAACAACTTGGCATAAAGTTGTTTGTCTTTAACCTCGGCGTGTCGATGACATCACAACGAGGCGACCGGAATAGTAAAGCAGGTGGAGGGGGTGGAAAATTCGGTGGGAGGAGTGCAAATTTATTGCCAGGCAAATCAAGTAAACTTAACGAACTGACCCACTGGCACAGTCCAACAGACGTCATCTGACTATATTATATAAGTTTTTAGCAGATACAAATTTCCGGAAAACTCATGTTCCTTACGGACGGGAACTTTGTATTTGCAAAAGTTTCTTACAAAATATATTATAATTTATTATTATGTTGTACTGCCAAAAGTCTTAAATTAACAAATCAATTTCCAGTTTTCTTTTTTAACAAGCCCCTGGAAAATATTGCATTGTAGAATCCTGGGAAGTAACTAAAAATTAAAAATCAAATTCAAATCAAAATAAGTTGTAAAAAAAAAGCTAAAATTATCTTTGAAATGTATTCATAAATACTTGACAATAAAAAAATAAACAAGGTGCGAAGCTAAACTAGTTATAACATAAGGCGAAGACAGCACATGCACCATTCCCATGGAGTTTTCTCCATTTGCAAATTGAATTTTCCCACGTTCTGGCATCCAGCGGACTAACCGTCGGCCAAGGGTGTAAGAATCAATCAAACAAAACGAACTGACACTTGGACAGACGATTAAAGGAAATGGGAAATGGAAGCGGGGAAAGGCAACTCGATATGCAAGTAAACGAAACCCAGACTTTGGGAAAGACAGATGGTTGGGCTGGATGGGATGGATGGGCTGGGGAAAGCTGGGTAAGCGAGGGGAATATAAGTGGGGATTCTGTCATTGTTTCGGTCAAACGCACAACAACAGAGCGTTAAATTCACACAAAACGAGCAAAGATGAGTCCGATTTTGATTCGGAATCAAAGACCTTGGAAAGCCATTGAAGCAGATCCTTGAAATTGTCCTTAAAAAAAAACAGAGACAATGGTAAGCTTGGGGGTATTTTTAAAAATCCTTGAGAAGGTATGTAGGCTTCTACAAATTTCATGGAAAGTTATATTTTGTTACTATAAAATGTTTAAGAAAATTGAAAAAAAAAAATTTCTTAAATACGATTTGCTTAAAAAATAGGTTATAAGCCATGCCCATAAACACTGAAGAACATTAAAGAAATTACACAACTTAAAACCTTAAAACACAATTTAAGACCTTAAAAACCTCTGAATTCAAATTGCTTTGCAACTGATTTTGTAATTGACAGGGCTAAATTGCATAAAAACTGGAAAAGCACTGGAGCTTGTAAAACTGATTAACGCACTTTTTTCTCTTTTTATTGGCAGCACTTACCCACTTCTTTAGATTTTTGTTTTTCCAGCAAAAAAGAATGAAGGATGTGTGTGTGTGTGTGCTAGACCAATATTTTTATGCAGGCCATTAGCAGCATAGATTATTTTTGCATATCAAATGGCCAAAAGGAGTTTTCCTCCGCCCTTCCGCTGTGCCCCGTTTTCACCATTTTCCACAATTTCCACAGCACTCCAGCCGAGTGAATGAATCCTTCAGAGCGGAGGACACGCACAAAAGCGCAAGCAAGGCAAACAGGTCAAGGATATTATGCATATGTGAGTAGGCAAAACGAAACAAAGAGGGGGATTTTCTAGTGGGTGGTAGGTGTGTAGTTGGGTGGCTGGGTGACTGGGTGGTTGGGTGGTGCAACAAGAATTCCCTCATTTCGACTGCCATTGTCACCATCAGTCGTCTGCAGCGTCATCTTCATCTACAACGTCATTGTTGTTCGCCACTCGAAAGTCGCACAAATGAACGCGTAATTGTTTGCACATGAATACATTGAGTAAATATTTGCAAACACATTCAGCATGCCACCGGTTTTTCCACTGACTTTGCGACCACTCCCCCCAATCCCACCGATTTTCAACCGATTTTCACCCGCTTTCCCTCGGCTGCATCCTGAGCCGAGCTGAGCCATCATCATTTGCATGCCGGGGCAAAAGACTTGAATTGCATTGCCAAGTCAAAGAAGGCCGTAATCTGCTTACCTTGCGTCGGTGACATTTCTTTTCGCTACCAAAACCCCACTTTCCGCCGTCGCCAACCGGCTGGGAGAATGGAAAATCGCTGGAAAAGTTGCTTAGCTTGGCAGGGCTTTGCTTTAATTACGGCATCCCCGACTTTGAGAGCATAAACAAATTGCAAATTGTTTATGGCATGCAAATTAATCAAATCTCTTTCTCAATTAAGCCTGCAAGCCAAGGAGCGAACAACCAGAGGAATTGCAGTGGGAGTAAAGAGTGGGAATAAAGATGGAAAAATATGGCAGGAGAGGCAAAGTGAATCGACAGATGGCCGGGCCCAGTGCAAAAAAACCAAAAAAATATTGAAAAACAGAAAAATATTCCAGAAAGGAGCCAGCACTCGCATAACTCAAATGCGTGTTTTCCTTTCAATTTTTTTTGTTCTATTTTTTACCATTCTGAATGTTAACGCAAAAATTGATACTCAGTTGTAGACGAGAGAAGGAAAGATGTTGCTGAATTTCAATGCAATACAATTAAATACAATAACCAATAACTATTAATACCGAAATACCAAGTTTTGTTCCGATGAATACCTTAAGTATAATAGTGAAAGCTTCAAAAGACACTTTACTACTAACTATTGTTTTATATGTTTGTAATTTAATTAATCACAAAATATCAAATACATTAGATAAAAATACCATTTAAGTTGGCAATTTCAAATATTCAAGTCAAAGCTTTGACCAAAAATGGGTCATCTGAAGGCTTCTTCGATATGTGACTCCAGAAATGCACCATTCGCTGCGTAATTTCGCCAACATGCTATTAAATTCGCTCAACTCAGTTATTTGAAGCTGGGAAGTTTCCATTTCGAAGGACGAGGGAGGGGTTAAACTCATGTAATTGAGTGTAAACTTGTCAGAGCATTTATTTAATGCCTAATCAAGTGATGTATAACACATGACTTACCCACTTCGCCACCTCCAATTCCATGGGTTGGTTAAAAGGGGGTGGCATTCGGGTCGGGTGCTTCGATAGGGGTTAAGTTAAAGTGTCAGTTCAGTTGTAGCTTGTAGCTTGTCAAAGTTGTTTTGTCCAATTAGCATAATTTCTTGTCTCAACTTTAGCCCAGATGCAACAGATACGAATTCGGATACGAAAGTATCTACGACACATCTAAATTGCCGGATGCCCGGAATTCGCTTAAAGCTAACATTAAATTGTTCCCTCGTTCCTTTCATTACTAAAACCTATCCCTGGCTGATGGCATTTTCTGCTCAGATGGATTCGCTCATTAAAGAATAAATTGTAATTATTTTAGATGTGCCAGCAGAACAATTAATCATTGAGATCTAGTTGGGGATTATGGGTGCTACGAGTGTGTATAAGCAATTATCTGTGCGTTTTTAGCAGGGCTGGAAAATTGTTAAGTCGTTTTGCTTAAACATTTTTGATTAATAATTTAGAAAATATTAGTCTTCTATCATATATAATTCAGATTTAGCATGACCATATACACTTAGAAAACAAAATTTCTTGATTTTAGGAAAAATTACCATAATTTTTGTAATAATTGCCTTGAATTGCCTTGAATTAAGGCAATAGTTCCTAAAATTAAGACAATTTTCCTTAAATTAAGGAATAAAGTTTTCGAAGTGTAGGCAGATATTATTATACACACGAAAGCTTTATAAACTGCTACTTCCTAAAACATAGCTATAACATCTTGTTACCAACAAGTCATAACAAAATATTTCTCTAAAAATATTCTGTCTTTGGCGAATTAAATTTTAAAATAATTACTTTAAGAGTTTATATTGAAAAGGTTTTTAGTATTACATTTTGTTTTTTAAGCATTTTAAATAGCAAAATTATTTATTTAAAAACAAATAACCCAACCAATGTTTCCTTAAACTACCTATTAACAAGACCATTAATTTAATGAATTGAAAATAAGTTTAAAGCTCAAGATGATGATAAATACCTCTCAGATAAAAAAAGGCTTTTTGTATCCTTTGTCAATCCAAGCCGTCAGGATGCCATTTTTTTCCACAATTAAGGCCGCTTCGATGGCCGTAAGCGATTTTGGCCGGCTAAAGAGAAATATCAACAGCTGGCGAAGAGCGAGCCAAGGTCGTTTGCCGGGCGCTCGCTCTTTAGCTTTGGAGGGAAACTCATGTTGGGAAAAACTCACCACGCCGACGAGGATTTTCCGAGGCGACGAGGCCAACACACGAGGCTTTTCCGTGCGGCATTCAGTCTCACGTTGAACTCTGCTGCTGTTTGTTGTCAGCCGGCTGGTGAATTAACCCCAAAGCTCAGAAGCCATCCGATTTGGCCAACTGAGCCAACTCAGTCAGCCGAAGGACGAAGGACCACGACCACGACAATTCGCGACGTGTTGTTATAGACCAGAAACCAGAAACCAAAACTCAGAGGTCCACAAAGGTGTCCTGTGATCGCGTGACGATAATTGTTTGTGTGTCGGGTCCTAAAAAAATTAACGAAAGAAAATATAAATTATCAGCAAAGTTCGTTGATCTCTGTGCGCGCTTTTCAATTATTTTCGCCTTTTTTTTTTTGTTTTTGTTTTGTTTGCCGGCACAACCAAGCACACCCAAACACACACACGCATTATGTGGTTATGTTGGTGATGATGATGAAAAAATTCAATAACAAGTGGAATGCAACAAATGCGAATGAAATGAAAAATTTGTCCACACAAGTGTGAAAAACCGAAAAGTAAAAATCAGATAAAACTGAGATAATCAGCGAGTGAGCAAGGCAACGAACGAGGCGAAGCCGAAAAACCCAATCAACCAAATAAGCTGAGGGCCAAAGTGCTCCGAGAACGGTTAGTAAACACAAATTGTTTGTTTTCGTGGCTTTTTCGTGTGTTTGCCTTGAATTGGGGACTATTTTCTTAGTGGCTGATAAAAGCTGAGAAGAAAGTAAGAGCCCAAATAATCCACATGATCAAGTGGCCTTTTTGAGAGGCGCCGAGAGGGGCGGTAAACGTCGTCGCTTTTGTTGTTAAAAGTTTTATGATTATGTGTGGGACTTAAGTGAATATTTGCATTGATTTTGGGCGTAGCTTTTGATAAGGGAACCATTTTTGTTTAAACATGTTATTGGATCTAATCATTAAATTAAATGTAATAAAAAACTACTTTTAGTTATTTTAATAACATTAAAATGCTTCAATAATTTATTTTAATAAGGCAAAAAAAAGGTTGATTGTACTTGGAGCTTAGTTAATATTTGCATTTATTGTGGGTTAGGTATTTATACATTATTAATTTAAAATAATCATTTAGAGAACATTCATTATTATATTTTGGAATTATTTCCTATTTTTAAGATGAACATCTTAACATTTAAAATTTATTTAAAATGTTCGAATGGAAATTATTTATAAAACGGCTGAGCTTTTTTATTTAAGCTTAGAAAATAAATTTGAAATTTTTATAGGCTGGAATTTCATGTTTATCAAACAGGAAACCTTTTTTTATAGTATAGATTAACTTTTTTTTAGCAGAATAGATATGATATTCTAGCAAAGGAATATATCTGAAACTAGCAGTTTTTTATTGAATAGTATTATTTGTCACTGCCTTCGCTTTTGAGATGATAAATATTTCCCGAACCCAGGACCTTTATCTAGGACCCCCAACGATGACAGTTTATATTCCGGACGCAGGCAAATCAATTCCGACACCTTTGACCTCACGATAGCCAGTTGCAAGTCAGGACTTCATAAATAAGGAATTGTACAAAATAAGTGACTCCATCTTATCCTATCCTATCCTTTTCCATTATCCCCGTTATGACCGGAAAAAGAGGACAAGGACCTACATGATTTATAAGGCACATTAAATTGAATATTCAACATAATGTAGCATTTAAATGACCCACGCACAGCCTGCAAATGTATAGTATATATACATATACATATTATACGGGAAAAATGCCAAGAGTCGCCCTTGAAGATCGTCTAAAGAGGAAAAGGTCTTGAGGTGGCTTTATGCCTGACACTTGGCCATACTGTTTAAAGGCGAAAATCGCTTAAAGTTTCGCCAGCGATTGAATTCCTTTCGCGGGCCAAAAGAACGCAAAAAAAAAAAAAAAACGGAATGGCCAAAATATTCGCACACTTTGAGTGTGCGTGTGAGGGAAAGTAATTTACCAACGCGGCGGCAGCGAAAGCATCATAAATCACACGTTCTGCCCAACTACAACTACAAAAAAGTGACACCCGTTGGGGCGGGCGTTTTTTTTTTTTTTTGTTATTGGGGAAAGATGAGGGGGAGCGGGGGTGGTGTGGTGTGGTGCGTTACGTGTCCAGGTCAAATGTCAAAAGTCAGCCAATTTGGGCAACATTTTGACAGACATTGCGCTTAGCCGCCGGCTCGCTGTTCATCATTGTGCAGCAATGCCAACCGATTATCGCAAAGGCGTGATGAGTTACTCCAATTCCTAGGGGATTACCCGAGTTTCGGAGGCCCTCTATCACCAGGAATTATAGCTGGTTTTTGAGACCAGAAACAGGTGCACATGTAATTAAAAAAAAAACTCGAATATAAATGTTTTCATACCATATTTTAAAACAAACTAGACAAGTTTGGAACATGTCGTACCAGTTGCTTATTTTGCTCTCCATATTTGCATATCAAATAAAACTAAAAAATATACAGAAAAAATAAAACGAAAAAATAGTGAAACCTGAATGTTTTCATACAATCTTTTAAAACAATAAAGAAAAGTTTAGGAATTTTTTTTTTACAATTTGGTAGTTTTTATCTGTATACTTGTTATATATATCAATCCTTTAAAATGAAAGCACAAAAAGTTTTCCAAAAAAAAAACAAACCAACAAGAAATTTGTATAAGTTACGTTTTGTTAATACTCTTTGAAAGCCATACATATTAAAATTTCTTAGTTAAACATTAATATTATTAATTTTAACTTTTCAACAAATTGCTATTTAATTCTATTGTAGTAGAAGCAGATGCATGCAAATGTCATTAAAATGTTTAAATAGGTTTGCCATTTACTCAAAGTTTTAATGTCATAACAAGCAGCGATAATTTTTTTATGTGGATAAACTAAGTTAGGCAACGATAACATCACTCAAACATCGATTTCGTAATTTTCAATACTTGAAGGAAATAAAAATAAAGTTATACATCAAATTATGTCAAGTTCTCAAGATTTGTGTTGAGTAAAGATATTAACTTACGAATGACTCTGATATTACCCATAATCCATCCTCCGACTCTCTTGACCCGCAAATCATATTTTCCGGCTGTGAATTTATGAGTTGCTTTCCTCTCGGCAGAATGTATGGCCCTGGGTTAACAAGATGTTTATAAAAATGATATTACGATTTACCTAACCCACACGAGCATACGCACAATGAATGTCGAAGAGGGGGGAGGCTGGGGATCCAAGGCCATTAGACAGCGCATTAATCTAATCATATGGGTTTGTCTGTCTGTGTGCCAAAAATCATAAACTCAAAAATGGTGGCTAAAAAGAAAAAAAAACGCTCAACACAGAGAGACATTTGCAAGTTGATTTATAAGCGTGCTGATGTCAGTTACGTGCAAAATGGCAGCAAGTTTTTGGCCCACGCACGCACTCAATAATGTTGCGAGCGAGCATGGGTTAAGAGTTTGGTGGGCGGGTGAAGGGAAGGGGAAGGAGAGGAAACTCACCTGCTTTTGTGTTAGAGGGGTGAAAGGTTACTGGCGAGGATTTGCCAGAGCCAAAGCAAAAGCATTGCGCAAATTGCTTGCAACACTTTTTGTGCCATTCACCCGCTTCCCGACTGCCTTGGCTTTTATAAATCGTTTAGACACCACCTCCACTGCCGGGAAAAGCTTCCCCCATTTCCCCCCCCACTTTCCCATTTCCCCATTTCCATCCCCGGAATAACAACAGAGGAGCGGTGGCGACAAGTCGAGTCAAAAGAAGCCCGAAAAACAGGAAGCCATCCCCTGTTTGGCCCCCACCATTTTAGGCGCCACTCAAAACACATCCATCAACAGCGTATTTATATGCGAGGCAAAAGGTTAAAGGTGTTTTCCTACTTTTTTTTCTTTTTTTTTTGGTTTATGTTGTGTATCCAGAAGCCAGGCTCCTAATTGTCAGAACTTTGCTTTGGCTTCAGCTTGTTTGGCCCCTGCATACTTTTGTGCGCTCGTCGCGTAATGAAGATAATTGCTGCTAAGCGGATCCTGCAGGATTTCTGAGACACCTCCGCATTCTCACACCCATTCATAAAATCCACAATGTTTCCAGTCTGTCTCTTTGTGCCTTTGGCTTGGGGGGAAACGGAGGAGCACCCATGTATTTAAATTTAATTTAGACTTTGCTAATTTAAATGCATTTTCATCGTTTTGGTTTTCTAAAGCTGCAATTAGCTATAATTTACTAGGCTATGCTATGAATTTCATGAGTTATTGAATACATGAAATAATATTAGCAGAGATACCTGACCAACTTAATTTACATGTCTGGCACCTCTGCTAGTATTATTATTTCAGCTATTAGTTTATTTATTTATTGCAAACTTTCGTCTGTAAGCGAATACATGAAATGGTGTTTATGCACACACGTATTTCTCTATTTCATGAAATAATTGCATGATATGGAAATCGAGTAAACACAGTAATAGGCACAGTAATAATTATTCAGCATCCCTGTTTTAACCTAGTCCAATTGAAAATATTAAAGTAATATAGCTTAGGAACAAGTTTTTAGACAACCTATTTAATATCTTTTCTATTCCTTGTTTTCAAAAGATTTATAACTTTATAAGCTTTTCCATTAACTACTGTTTTAAGACCTTACGAATAGTAACTTTAAATGCTCGCTGGGCCCTGTTTAAAACTTCACACAGCTGCAGCTTTACTATTTTATTTCCCTTTTCCTCGTTTTATTTTAGTTGCTTACTCATTTCACCGTTTTTAATTTGCCCGGGATGAAGGCCTTCCTTTTGAAGGAGCATCTCTGGTTGCTTTAGCGCGGAGGACCTGCATTAATTAAATTCTTTCAGGTGTTAAAAGGTGTCGAGTCTGCAGCTATTGTTAGTGCAGGGCAGCAGGGAGGGCTGGCTAATTGGTAAATGCTCTCAAGTGCCTGGCTAACGAGGCGTATGCGTAATGCGAACAAAGTCAGAAAGAAAGGTAGTTGCCTCGCCTAATCAGAGGAGAAGTTACTCCTGGATCACTATTTGAGCTCTAATAATCTCGGGCATAAATTCTAGTCGAGTTCCACAACTTGGCCTTCTGATTTGCCCTGCATATATTAGGATTCGTATTCAAATTTGTACTTCAACGACGGGGGTAAAAAATAACATTGTTTACAGGGGCAAAATTATTGTGACAGACGTTAACATTTATGACTAAGCAGCACACGACAACAGGTAATTGTTTCTTTTTCTTTCAGTTGTCTTCTTTTTTGTCCATGTCTTTTCAGCAGTACGCCTATTTTCTACTTTATTTTTTGCTTCATTTGTTTTCCGTTTTCGGTCTTCTGCTCTCGTTTGTTGGCATAAATTTATTGTGTTCGCCCGCCTCACGCATTTGCATAAATATTTTAATTTGCATTTCAACGAACACGAAAAGCGAAACGAAGCCAAGCTATAAAATCCATAAACCCAGAAAACAAATACAAGTATATATATATAAGATATATATACCGAAGGACTGAATGAAATAATAATAATCTGTAAGAATCTATTTGTAATCAAGGAGTTACAACTATCTGGTGATTTTATTTCTACATATATTTTCTCGCATATGCAAATGGTTCTCGTTTGGCAAAAAAATATTGTTATATCCGATCTG